GTGGCCGAGCTGACGGCCAGGACACCGGCGCAGGACCAGGATTTGGCCGTTATCGGCGAGGCGCGCGCTGATACGGGACGCGTGTTTGCAGCTCACTGCCGCCAGCCACTCGGCTCAAGGCACCAGCTGCTAAAAAGCCACTTCCTGAGGCTTCCCTGCAAGAAAAAAAGGCCCTCCAAGAAGCACAAAATTGGGAGAGGTTTTGCACTGCGAGCTGCTTTGACAACGTGCTGCCAGCCCTCCCTGCCCAGGCAAGTGCACTGCGAGCTGCTTTGACAACGTGCTGCCAGCCCTCCCCGCGCCGGCAAGCTGAGCATGCTCCTCCGACTGCTTTTCCAAAGCACTGGGGGGGGGGGAAGGATCTGTTTCCCCCTTTTCTCCCCCTCTGCTCGTCGCTGGAAAATTAAACCGGATCCAAAGAGTTTTTTCCCCTCCAAAATGTGCACTGGAGACGCACACAGGCAGCGCCTTAACCCTTTAGTCTCCCACAGTGGGAGCTACATCGGCTATGGGCGGCTCGGCTCCCTGGAGAAAAATGGGACAGGACGGGCTTGATGAGCAGTGGTTCGGGATCCACTGCTTTGGTGGGCAGAGGGTATTTTTACAGATTCCCCTCAAACCCATTTGCACTGGCAGGACCCAATATTCCCCCTGCCAAGCCAGGAAGCTGCCCGGCTCCGGGCTTCGTGGGGTCAATTTTGCTGGTGAGACCCAGGGGCGAGCAGCTCCCCACTCTGTTTGGGGAAGATTTTGTTTTTTTCTTCGTGATTATTTGAAATTCAGCCAATTAGCAGCACCCCACTCCGCCAGCGCCATCCTTCACCTCTGAAAGTGGTGGGTGGCTGCTCTCCCCGGCAAATCCCCCACTGGAAAGCAGCAGCACAACCCTCCAAAGAATCAATCTGAAATGTTGCACAATTTGCAAGAAACCCAACTGGAGCCATTTGGCTCAGCAAGCAGCTCCTGTCCAGAGACTTTGGAGCAAGTTTCCGTGTGCTTTCAAGGTCCCCACAAACAGCCGAAAAGACCTAATCCTAAAGAAAATGTGAGCTATTTCCTTTGGGGACAATTTGCGGGCGGCCAGGGGAGAGGCAGGGTACCTGCGAGTCCCTTTGCGCCGTCTCACCCCAGGGAAGGGAAACGTTTGGAGCTGATTGCTGCCAAACTTGTCCCGGAGCAGGGAAATCCTTTTTTTTTAAAAAAAAAAAAAAAACAAATTTTTTCTCCGCAAAAGCTCTTTGTCTCCAGCTCTAAGAAGATGCTAGTTCAGCTGCGAGGCACAAGTCAGCCAGGGGCGTCTCGCATGCGAAACAAAATCCCATGCTTCCCCCCCCCCAGCCAGGCTTTCATGGCCCCCAAAAACCCTTTCCCCACCTAATCACTCTGAGTAGCACCCACTGTCCTCCCCGGAGTAGCACGCATGGGACACCCCCCTCCTCCCTCCACCAAATCCAGCGTTTTAGATCCAGCTCTTGATTTTGGAAAAAATAAACAAAATAAAACCCCTCGGGAGCAGGTCGGTGGTTTGTTTTACTCGGTTGTATTTGCGAAGGAGGCGAGCGTTTCAAAAGCAGTTTGCAAAGAAACCTCTGTGCGCGGCGGCACGGGGCAGAGCAGCGGCCGAGGGGCACCCGCGAGGGCTGCGGAGGGAAGCAGGGGGACAAAAAAGACACTGGCCACCGCCTTCCCGCCAGTGGCATTCCCGCGGGCCTTTCTCCGAGCTGGGCAGAAGGAGGGAAATCAGCTTCGGAGAGGCCGAGAGAGGGGAGCCGGCCCCGTAACAACGTTCCTTCTGAGATAGCGCGGGGGGAGGGAAAAAAAAAAAACAACAACAACTC